ACGCAGAGACGCCGCCGACTCCTCTAGCAGAATTGTTTTAATCAGTTTTATAATTTTTTTGGGGGGAGGAGAGTCCTATATTCTATCCTTCCGTGCAGATGTCATGTAGAAACATCGTTAAATTGCTTTCAATAGCGATCAAAGTGGATATTTTGTTTGAAATATGATACTTGAAATATTTCGCGATTACAATACTTCCTTTTTACGTTGTACAAGGAAGTAAAAAGGACCGTAAAGCTGTAATATGCTTAAACATCTCGGATTCGCAAATTATTCAGGTTTTACACAGTAAATCTGCTAAGAGTAGCAGAAGTTAAAACCTTTTCATGAACGTGCAAATTTAACAATTAAATTGCTTCTTCTTAGATACGTGTATTCTAATAGATGGAATGAAAGTTCTAAAATGCAAAGAACAGATCAAAGGTATATTAGGATTGGTTGAAAAGCTGCGTAGCATAATTAAAGGAATTAAGGAAAATAAGTTAATATAGCTGTTTATAAAACTCAAGCAACTCGTTCGCAGCCGCATCAGAGAGTAAATGAGAAACTGAGTTGCTAGAATATGTTATATATAAATTAACGTTTGAGTTTTATATGCGTGGGAAAAGTAAGCAAGTTTAAAATACGATTCTTTTGTCTTAAAAGGTAAACGCAAATATAAAGCAAAGTATGTCACACGATATTGCAATAGAAATATCCATACAAGAAATGATTGTTTACATTCAAAACACAAAGCTGAAACTTGCCCTGAAACAGATGTCAGTAACAGTGGAGGAAGAAAATATCCTCAAAATTATAAGAGTAATGCACGTCAAATGGAAAGTTCTCAAATTATAAGAAGCATAAAAATAAATAAGTTGAAAATAAATATCTTAAGAAAAGTGTCAAAACTGAGAACTCGTAAGCTTAGATTAATCAAGTTTTAAAAGTGGAATATAAACATGAGTCAAAAATGCAAGAATGGAGTGACAACCTCATATGACAAGTGATATGAAATTTTTCTCTCAGTTAAATGACTCAAATATGCAAACTCAATATAGCAAATTGTGCCAAATGAAATTCTTGTAGACACACACATTCGCAATACATATTTTCGATTCTCAGATTACCCAAATAAAGTTAGAAATGTACCAGATTTAGATAGTAACTTACTTTCTGTTCAGTCCTGTACGAGTAAAGGTTTTATTGTTACATTTGAAAGCAATAAGCGAATCATTAAAGGAGATAATATATACTGAAACTATGAACATGAAAAATGCACATGAAAAAGCACATGAAAAGCACACTAGGTTTATATAAGTTAACCGCAAGTTCATTTGACAAGAAAATATATTTAGCTAATGCTATTTCATGTTCTGATATTAACTGCATATTAAAATACCATCAAAGGTTAGGCTGCAGAAGTATAGATGCGATCAAAAGACTCTAGTAAAATGATCTGGCTGATGGCATTAAACTTAGCAAATGCGCTTCTAATGTTGAATGTTAAGCCTAAAAGCAAAACTATAAGAAAAACCTTATTCCAAAACGAGTTTTAGATGTCAGAAATAATTAAATTTAGCGCAGTCAAATGAGTATGAGCTAGTCAGCTAAGGACAGAAAAGATATTTCGTAATTTTCATCGACGACTTCTCGGGTTACACTCAAATTTATTTTATTGCTATTAGGTAAAAAGTCTGTTACATGGCGAAGAAGTAACTTTAGAAAGAAAATAAATGTTCTCAGATCTGATAATGGTACAGAATACTGTAATGAAACTACCAAAAATTATTTAAAAGAACTCGGTATCTTTCCGTAAATCTTCGGTTCCTTATTGTCCAACACAAAACGGCTACTCAGAAAGGGAAAACTGTTCTTTTATAGAAATGACTACTTAAACCAATGCTCATAAATTCAAAACTATCCAAAGTTTTGTGGGCTGAAATAGAAGCTACTGCCCCATATCTTCAAAACAGATTACCTGCTAAAGCTAGGGATAAAACACTATATGAATTATGGAAAGGTAGGAAACCAAATTTAAGTCATTTGCGAGTAATTTGACTATAAAGTATATTTACTAAAAATAAGCAAGAGGCGAAATTACGAATGGAAGGAAAATAGTAGTAAGTAAAACTGCTAAAGGTTTAATCCTAGTATCCGGTGCACACGGGATTTGGCTTCTTTTGGCGACTTTATGATGAGCAGTAAAAACGGGACATATACGATCAGTAGTTAACGGGTCATTCAAAGAAAATATAGTTAAACATAGTATATACTGTATATAGTAATATACATGTATAGACACACATAGCATATAGTGTATAGTATATATATACAGACTTTCTTTGGATCATTTTTGGTGTTGGCGATAATTTTCAGTGTCGCACCAAGGCTGCACCGTATACTAGGATTTTACCCTGCTAAATGTTTTTAATACACAACCTATGTCTAACGAGGATGTTGAAAAGAATACCGAAGATATAGAGGTATTTACGTATTATCGCAATGTTGGCGCAGTTGGGCGAATTTCATGGAAGGAAAGAACAATTGTTTTTATTAAAAAATATATATTACATGCATATTCTATTTTTCAGCTCTATATTTATTCCAAAAGACAATCAGTCGACATAGCTACAAACGGGTTTTTGCTGTGATGGAAATTTCGTAGCGACTGCTTTGAGAAAGTATTTGCAGCGTTATTCCTTTAGTGATTTTTGTGGTAAATAATGTGTTCCTACAGAAATTTCACCTCTCACCAATCTTTATTTTTCTATAAAAACCATGCGTGGAATGCAATTAAATATGGGGCTTGGAATACAACAAAAATAACGCATATGAGAATGGTGGACTAGCAAAATAGAAAGTGAGTATTTGTTATGGGTGTTATTTGCTTGAATGTCCCTGTTTTTTTCTTTTATGCGCGTGGTCACGAGAGTCTGGTGTATTCTGAAGCTTTGGCCATTTCAACTAAGCTGATTGCAAAATTAACGTAAACACCGTTTTAGAATTAATTCATTCCGATACTTCGCAAAGTTGTGAAGAAAACAATGAAAAACATCTCTTGGACAAGGTTTTACAGAAGATTCAAAAGGATCTGAAGAATGTCTGAAAAAGAAAATGTGGAAAGAAGGGTATTCAGAAGTACAACTAAGGGGTATTCCGCCGAAGAGATTCCTCCCATAAAGCAGAAGACTAAGAATTAAACTTATCTCGAAATAAATATCCAGAAAGATTTGAAGAAATGATAAGCTTATGAAAACGAAGACCAAGGAGCTTGGATCAGGGAGACGGAAGAAAACGTAAACTCTCTGAAAGCGAACGAGACCTATCAGCTTACAGATTTAATACCAGGAAAATATGGAGTAGACAGGTAATGTGTGTTTAAAAACAAAGTACGATGAAACTGATAAGAAGAGAAAATACACAGCAAGATTATTAGCCAAAAGATTTACTCAAATGAACGACAATAATTACGATGAAAGGTTTTCAACATTAGTGAAACATACTACAATTAGAGCTTTCTTAGCATGGGTAGGGCATAATAATGCAAAAGGTTGTTCATCAAATAGATACTAAGGCAGCATTTTTGCATGGCAAGTTAAATGAAGAAGATGGATCTGCAGTAACTAGGAGAGTTCGTGGTTCCAGAAGAAATTTATAAAGAATGTGAATTAAGAGTCAATTTATGGTCTCAAACAAAGAGCTAAAGACTTGAATGCAGAGTTTGAAAATACTCTGATGGTTTGGGTTCAATCAAGAAAAGATAATCTGTGTCTTTTCACAAAAAGGGAATCGCGATAAAAAATTAATTTAGTTATTTACGCTGATGATATTTTAATAAGTTCTAAGGAAAAAAACTAATTCTTCAAAGTAATTAATGATTTAAAAAAAAGCTATCAAATAACACATTTTGGTGAAGCTAAATATTTCTTAGGAACAAAATATATCGGAAAGACGATGGAAATTATCTTTTACCTCAAAATGGTAAAGTAAACCAATCTCTCAAGCCATTTCAGATTGCAGAAGCAAAATCTACTAGTATACTAATAGAAACAAATTATTATAGTTGAAACAAACAAGAAAGAAACTCTTCTACCTTGATATAAATTTCGCCAAGCTATCGGAAATCTTTTGTGTATATTTTTCTTATCATAAGACCAGATTCCACAGTTTCTACTCACATACTTAGTAGAAGATCTAATAATCCACGTCGAAAGGACTGGAATGCTATAAAAAATAATTAGATACTTAAACTCAGCAAAACATGTATCTCTACATATATCGTCGTATAAAGAAACTAATCTTAAGTTTATTGAGATACTGTTTCGGGACAAGATACTGAAGATACAAAAAGTACACATCAAAAAGTGTAATTTTATTAGGACGCAATTGTATGTCTTGGTTTTAAAGAAAACAAAAGTCTGTCTATTGTTCGGCAGAAGCGGAATATAGAATTATTGTGTCTAAGAGAAGTTTCTAATCTACCCGAAACTTTATCGACAAAAGTTTCTAAAGATGATCAATTAAAAATAAAACTTGCAGAATCTGAAAAGTGCAATTCGCGTACAAAACACGTACACAAAATTTGATCATATCCGCGACTTGCGTAACAAAAGCATTGTAAAACTATCTTTAATCTTTCAACTATACGGTAAAGCCAACGGTTGCGGATATTATGACTAAAGCAATTCCTAAAGCTAAACTTCAGTTTTGAAGTAATTAGTCCCAACTGGTATGAGTTCAATAACAAAACAGAGTTAGAATAAATTAGTCCCTCTTTGCATTATGAAACTGGAAAGCGCAAAACGAACGCTCGCCAAGCTATGCATTGGCAAGAGAGGATTCTACCTTTGCCTTGTATCCGAGTCAGAATTGTTGAAAATAGCCTCAACACAAACAAAAAGAATAGATATTTTGTTTTCAAGATTTGGCAACAGAAGTGCAATTTTAAAAACCAAACATTTGACGTCGGCTGTAAATCTTTTAGTATCGTCTGTGATTTGGTCTAGATATGTGTTTTTGTAGCTACATTTGTTTTTGGGTGTTCGTGGTAGAAATTATGAAAATAAAAGCGTTTTCTACAAAACTGAGTCTTTCTACAAACGCTGTTTGACGCTTTTCCACCTATTAAATTCTTCCCGGAATATCGATCCTTTGAAAAGAAAAAGGGTAAGTAAAACCGTTTTTTCAAAATTTTGAACTTTAGAATTTTAAACCTTTAGAAATTTTTGAACTTGTTGAAATGAAAAAAATTAGTTATAATTTTTCAATAAGAGTGCCCATCATTTAGTTTGACGAATAAGTCTATTTACTATGTTCTTTTTTCAACAATTCGAATTTATATCCCTATGAAGATTGTTAATATAATGTGTTCTACTTAGTTTAAACAAAACTCTCTTTTTTTGTTAAATAAAGAGTTCAGAGTTGTTTTGATTCGTTAATGAAACTGTGTTAAATAGAATATAATGTACTCAAAACACCTTAGCTGTGTTACTACGCAACACATCAAGACATCTCAAGGGAAATTCGATGAAAGATGTTTATTGCCATAATTTTGAACATCTGAAATTTTATAACAGAAATTCAGTTGTTAATCGTAAGCTGTTCTTTTACTCTGAAAACGGTGATGTTCCCAGTAACAATATTGTAGGTAAACGTATACTTTCAGTATCCTTTATTAAAACATTATCACCAATCGTGTCCATTCAAGTACCTTATAAATAAATTTGAATTCCATTTATCTTTTTAACATTTATTTAAAATTGTTATTACCTTTTTTGTGGTTTTAATAAAGGGTTAATGAACTTCTGTTCACGGAGTGGATGCTTCACCCAATTTCGTGGCAATATTTTAGTGCAAAGTAATAAGATTCATTGAGATAATCCGTTATGAAAGAATTATTTGGAAGTGTGAACTTGCATTATTATTGCATGATATGTAAATATTATACACTAGGCATTTTTATATTTGAATAATGAGAAAATAAAATGTGGATTATATGTTGGGAAAGAATGTTTGTTGGACTCTTTGATTTAATATTATTTTTCTCTACCATGTTGATTAATCAGAAATTTTATTTTAAGCGTTGTTTTACTGCAAAGATCTGTTACATTTTAACAATAGAATTGATGCTTATGCATATAATTATATATCGTTTCTCTGTATTTTACGACTAGAATATTTGATTGCAATTTCCTTTTAATTTTAGAACAGTAATATTCTATACGTTTGATAAATATTGCGGGTACTAAAGTATATAACAATATATTATTACAGAATTGAAAATATTTTTGTTTATTTCTGAATCTCTATTCTTAAAGAATGAAGAATGTATACGTTTGTTTCTTACTTTATGGAATATTACTTATAGCCACCACACAATCATCCATCCAAATACAAAAACCCTAATGAAATGTAGGATTTTATTTCGTCATCTGTACGAATTTAATAAATTTTTTATTAACCCAAGAACGTGTCGCAGTTCTGGGAAAATTCAGAGAAAAATTTCATTGTTTTGTTGTACAGCGTCAAATTTATTTATAAGATGTATTTGTATTATTAGCAAACTAAATAGCCGTGAAGATGTATTTAATTTTTTCTTTGCGTCAAGGTCGTGAAGTATAACCTTAGAATAGTATCATTTATTAAAAAAAATGTTTGGTTTTGAATTGAAATAAAGAACTCAGATGATAATTAACACTGTGGTAAAAACTACGAGAATTAGTAATGAATGTTTGGATGGTTTCTCTTTTTAAATCGATATATTATAGTATTCTTTCTAAACCAAGGAGCGTTGACTTATTTTTCAAATGGTTCTAATTACAGGAGTTGTATTTTAGATGTATTTGCAGCTTATCCCCATCGGAAGAGGCGTAAATGTAAGGCATGATTAAATAACTCAGAGGTTTAAAAGCATCGTGTTGTCACCGTTCGAAGTAAAACATCTTAAATTCTTCATGCGCCAGTCTGTTGCTACTCGGCAAATTGTAAAATACGTAGCATATTCAAATTTAATCATAAAAACTATACTATTTAAAGCAATATGTAGTCGCTGATTTGGTTTATTTGATATGCCAAAGCCTTGAGAGCTATCTGCGTAAGAAGGAGGGATGCCTTCATGAAGGACTTTCTATGGGAAACTGTCTCGTATACACATTACACATGGGGAAAACTATGAAAGCGGCCGTGGAGCCAGTCCGTTCGCGGGATTCGAACTTCGGACCGAACTCCCAGTGTTCAGCGACTTTACCGCTCATGTTGTCAGAAACAAAATACTTTCATCTTCTATGTGCCAGATTGTTGACATTTGACAAAACGTATGATATTTGACTTTGAAAATGAATCTCGCCATTACTTTAAAAAAATGTATTAATAACAAACAGATTAAATTAAAAACCAATAAACAAAGTAGTTCGCATTATTTTTCTGTATTTATTTTAATTTTATCAATGAACTCCTTTCTTGATTCTTTCTAAGTTCTTTGAGAAATATTCGTCAGTTTTCTACGCACAGGTAGAGAGGAAAAAAATGAAATAATATGATGATGGTTACTACAGAATTACATTGTAACCGTATCTTATATCACACTGAAAATATTAAATTTGTGTTCTTTTCAAATTGCCAGGCAATATATGATAGATTAGATGGCAAGTTACCTTCGTTCTTCTTTTACTGCTTTAAATTCATTATTTTTTCAGTAATTCGTAACGTTTATAAATCGCTATATCTTATGTGCCTTTGCGATACAATAATTAACATACACAACCAGAAAATTGTAAATTGTCAGGCTTTGCTCCAGGAGAGATGAGTTTTTTCAAAAAAAAAAAAAAAAAAAAAAAAAAAAAAAAAAGTAATATTGGCTAATCATTGGAATATGGTAACAGGTAGTTTGGCGATATTTTGGTAAGGCGATAAGGTTATATAGGCTTAGGACCCCTTACAGTGTACATGGAAAAGTTAGAGTGGCGCGGTATTGCCATTTTTGTGCAATTCTCTATGTTTTTTTAGTGAAAATAGGCCGGTATGTGCAGGGGCGAGCAGCGTTATGCACTTCTCCCAATTTCGCACCTACTTCGTCATGATTAGCACTTTTTGTTTCAATAAATTCTAAATAAGTAATTCGGCTAGCAGATGTGGAAAAATGTTGAGGGGGGGGAAAGGCTTTTACTTCGTGAAAACAAATGGCGTCCAAAACAAAACTAGCAGGTTGCTGTACAGGGTTGGGCCAAATTTCGCCAAAAATTGACAAGTTGACCATAATCCAAAGATTACCGTAAATTACCCACAATCCTGCTTAGGTCAACAAAAGAATTTTTGTTTATTTTTTAACCTTTAATTTTAAAAATTAAAAAATTTAAAAAAAATTTTTAATATGTGAAATCTGTATATTATCAAGTGTCATCCCATAAGTTAATAAAATGTATTTTAACTTGGTGATGAAACAAAAGGATCTATTTATGGTTGAAAATTAATTAATATAATTAATAAAAAACATTTTAAAGTCCTACATGTCACAAAGAAATTTTAAAGTACAAAAAGGAAATTTTAAAAAATAAATTTTTTTTAAATTAAATGTTTTAAATTTTTTTAATATGCGAAAAATCTGTATTAATATCTAGTGTCATCCACTACAAGTTTAAAATAATGTATTCGAACTTGAGTCAATGAATAAAAAGTATCTTATTAACGAATGAAAATTTGAACAAAATATGGGGAGGGTGCTAAGAGTAAGAATTTAAAAAAAGGGGTGGGTTACCTCGGTATACGTCCGCTTTGAAATGCGTCGAACTTTGCATATGTAACCCCGCCTCCAGAAAACTTGGAAGTGAAAATATTTGTTTTATTTAAGATATTTGCTTAGAATACGACTCGCATTCTATAAGTCATGAGTGCGCATACATTTTTACCTCTTTCAAGACTCCCCTCTGTTTATATATTCGGTAAAAAACACACGCTGACTTTGTACTTTTTTTCGTAAATGTTTTGTAAATTCATTACTATTGAGTTTTAGGAAAGTTAACGAGAAACATCGAGCAATGAAGAAAATTGCTAAGACTATCACGGCGAAAACAGGAACAGAGTTTGAAACAGATGTGAAAACAGAGGTTGTTGAAAAATATCCAAATAGCAAGCGTGTTTTGGCTATTTTATGCCACTACGATGTTGTGTAGGATTGTGAAAATCATAGATTTTATTAAATCTTTGCGAGATCAATTTCCAAACAAAGATCAAGACCTTAGAGAGTGTTTAAAAGCTGCTTTTGGTCTGAATAGCAGAAAAACATTTATGTGCAGGACCATGTGCAGTGTCTCATTTATGAACGGTATATATTTCACCCACTGTTTTTGCATTTTAGTATTAAGCAACATATGATAAAATAATAACAATAGGATATTTTTATAAGAACAGACTAATTATTTTCCCTTTCATTATTGTTGATGTTGGTGTATTTAATTATGGCAAAGCACACTAGGGGCTATCTGCCTAAGAGGAGGGATGCCTTCGTGGAGGACTTTCTAAGGGAAACTGGCTCGTATACACGTTACACATGGGGAAAACTACGAAAACGCCCCTGCAGCCAGCCCGTTATTGGGATTCGAACCTCTCGGACCGAACTACCAGTGTTCAGCGACTTTACCGCTCGGCTGCTGGTGAGCCATTATTATTGGAAACGATCGTTTCGAAAGAACATCTGAAACGGTTCAATGATATAATACTATACCGAGGTATATCTGTATCTGTTTCCCTTCTCGGGGAAAAAAACGTAAAAACTTTAAAATTCTGCAGTGATCCCAAAGCTAACAAATAGTGGATAATAATTCAGAATATTCCTGATTTGACTAATACAATCTCGCTTCCTGCCCAGTCTCGTTTCAGCTGGGAATAACATTGGGTCATATAAGAAGTCTCCGCGTTTTTTGGCCATTTTTCGCGTAGCTTCATAATTCCATCGGTGTAGAAGTGCTGTGGTTCATCGTCGAAACATTTGGCCAAGTGATTTTCAGCGGCGCTTCGTTCGGCCAATTTTTTACCATCAAGAGTGTTTTGAAAAGACCGAAACAAATGGTAGTCAGATGGCGCAAAGTCCGGACTATACGGTGGGTGCATGAAAACTTTCCAACCAAATTCCGTCAATTTGTTCCGAGTCATCAAAAATGTTTGTAGCCGCG